AATATTATTATAAGTACGATAACGCTATTAAAAAAGTTAAACCAAATAATGTCGAGTATATGTTTGCAAAATATTTTTCCATTATAAATAATTCATATTACAATAACTGCAACATTTTTTTTGTTAAAATCCCTAGAATAATAAGACGTGAGAGTCCAAACAAGGAAAACGAATATATATTTTCACTTTAGTAGGTAACGAATAAATTAACAATCTAGTATAGATTGTAATAAAATTGTGATGCTATAAAATCTGTTCATAAATAAAATCAATGCAATAAATTTTTAAGTTAAAATTAAAAAAAGTTATTTTTTTATTTAGTTCATCTATTCGATACGACCGTTAGTAGTCATTTCTCTGAGTATTGAGCATTGACGCCTACTATTTAGTTAGCTAGTTATAGTGCGTTTGATTTAAGCTGAGATTTGCATTTGTGTGAGTGCACACGGATAGTGTAGGTGTGATGTCAAATTTTTGAATACCACGTTCTTTTCTAGTTTTTAAACAGTTTATTCTGCTTTTACTCCGCCCCGCACCTTCCTCACTTCACCTTCTGTACTGATAGCAAAATCAAATGTTGAAAACGCAATGTCAAGTGAATAAGGATTTGTATAGTTTTTTTCAAAATTTTTATTAATTAATTTTTTTTGCATAATATTCATAATATTTCCATCTGGCCTTTTACAAGTTTTGCTTATTTTAGCTATAAAATGCTAATTTATGTTATGTATCTATTTAAAATATAATAAAATTTAATTCTAAAAGTTTTTTTTCTTACTCTACTTTTACTTTCTTACTCTACTTTTACTCCCACAACTGCAAAGCTCAGTTTAAGTCTAACGGACTATACTAGCAAATATTTATAGTCTTCTAGATAGTACAATCACTTAAAGGAATGAATGTCTGAATTTGATATTAGTACGCTCTGGTAAAGGCTCTCTTTCAATCCTATTCGATAATGAGGAAACTTAGCATTGACCTCCAATGGTTCAGACAAGCATCCATTTATAACTTGTATACCACGGTTCATTAAAAATCAAGGAAATCGGTCCAAAGAATATATAGGATAGCATCCCAAAACTTAGCAACCACGGTTATTGTACCAAATTCGATCAAAAGCATTCAGGGAGCAAAATGTACCTGCGAGTGTTTTACTTTTTTGCATTAGACCTTTCCTACATAAAAGCCCGGCTTGCACAAGAAAATCCACATTCCACCAACTTGGATTAAATCTTTAATGGTTGTTAGGAACAAAATCGATGTTCAAGACATACTCGTATAATTTATATTGTCTTATAGATTATAAGGGTAACTAAAATTGGTTTATATAATTATCACAGCCAATACAACTTCCCCTATCAGGAAAAGGTACCACATTGGCAAGCTTTAATAGTTTTTCCATGGGATCCAAAGAGAGATGTTAAAGAGAGGCGCACATGTTTTAACAATTTGCATAGAATAATTTGTATCCAGAAAACTAACGTTGTTCTTGTCTAAACTACGTGGAGTTCTTAGTACTTGTTACGTGTTTATTAGAATATTGTAGCTCTTTCATAGCGGAACTACATACAAAGAAAAGCAAATGGAAGAAAAGTAAAGAAAAAACAATTTTTAACCATAGAAAGTAGTGAGGATAAACAGGAGTGGTTTTCAAGAACTTTAGCTATTTATCTGGGGTTTTTGTCAGTAGAAAACATTCGTTTTTATGTATAGCCCTTCAGAAATCCTCTACCTTCTATCTCGAAGAATAATTTTCTCATAACGAGTTTTATACTAACATCCGTTTGCCGATGTTTCTTAAATAATTTATTTATACTAGTCTTCGTAATGAAATGGATAAGATTAAGCATTTTCGCTGGAATGTTAACCTTTTTACAGTAAATTTTAGTCTGAAAAAAGATGAATAAAAATAGAGTGTGAAATAAAAATTAACTAATAGTAGGTAGATATTTCTTATTATAATCATGGTAGAGTTTTTCTTACCAGGATTATCGTTATATAAATAATTATTCATATTTAAATTAATTAGATATAATAAAAATAAAATTACTTTGTCTATTATTATAGATGAAGTTCGCTATCAACTCAGGAAACCGGTCACGGCGCGTTTGTTTATAGGTACTATAATTTACAATATAATTGATTAGGATTATTTCCATAGACGAGGTTCTGTGTAATCAATTTATCTTTACGTTTTATACCTCTGTAACATATAATTATTATGTATCCATAGAGTGAATGTGAATTATACAAAAAGATATATATTTTTAACCAAACGAAAATTAGAACTTCAATGTAATTAAATTGAAGTCATAAAAAACATGATAATAGAAAAATAAATGATATTGTTACGTTATGTTAACAGATTTTCTTACAGTAATAGAAAAAAATAAAAAAAATTTACTATATTCCCTAACATGAGAGTAGTTCGGTAGCTCGCGACTATACCATGATCTCAATATTGAATTAGATAAAACCTATGTTTCCTTCGTTGATCACAAGAGTGAAAACCTTACTTTCCTCTTGTATTTCTTGAATATCATTTTCTTAATTATGTTTCCTAAAATCCTTCGAAAAGAAACAAAACATTAACACAATATAAAGCAAACTCATCACAAGTCGACTGTCATTCCAAATTGAACAAACAAAATGAATATAAACTATCACAATATAATAGTTTAGTTTAACTTTTATTAAAATAATAAAAAATAAATACTCAATTAATGTAACTTATTGTTTTTATCGAGCAAATATGAGATCGAGTACAGGTCTCGCAATATGACCTTAATCTAGAAAATGATAAAAAAAGCAGAGAATTGTATGAAGAAATTACAACAGACAACCGCTAACCGTGACGTAAACACTAAATGTTATAATTAAACCTGAGAGAAATGATTTTAAATAATGAATAGCAGTTTGCGCCTTGACTAATATATTACTCCAATATGCAGAAAGAAGTAATTGTCATATTATATTGTCAGGAACCATTTTAAAAGAAAATCTTATACAATGAAGAAATTCGAAATCTATATATATAAAAATGAATTGCTGATTTGGTCTCACTAAAACTCGAGAACGACTGAACGGATTTATCTTATCATAGTCTTGAAATGTTTGTGGAGGTTCAGGGGAGGTTTAAAAGCTGAAAATTTTTTATTAATTTCCGGGAAAACCCTAAAAACAGCGCTTTTTTATTTCCCATACAAACTATTTTTTGTCATTAGATTTGACAACTAACTAATATGTCAATCATTTTGTCACACTTCAGAACCCGGAGATTTATGGCTTAAAGGTAAACACCAAAAAAATAAATAAGACATAATTTATTTCTTGATTGAGGCAGTACGAAGTCTGCCGGGTCAGCTAGTACATATATACTTAAAATTTGTCTAATCCAATTTAATTGTTTTAGTTTATTTATAAAACTTTGAAAAATAGAATTTAGAACTAGATTTAGAATTTTTATAGTTTGGTTACATTTGGAAGAAGCATTTTTCTTGTGCTTCTGATTGCAAAATGGTTTGCTAAAAAAACGAAACACCCATATTTAAAATCGTATCAAGTATGGTTGATCATATGAATTTCTAATAATTTTAATTAAAGAAAATATTTATTTATCTCATGTATGTACTCGAGTTTATTGTACAATTGATATACAATGACGTTATATGAATTGTGTAATTTAAAAAAAAATTCACGAATACATATTTATTTAATTTATGTTATATTTTTACTTAGATCAACAAAAATTCTTATTAATTATTATATTTAGTTATGTTTAGCTTACATTTTGTAAAAACTGAATAATATCATTTTTTTTATTGTCAACGAATTATTGCTATGTTGAAGATATTAAGCTGTACTTATCAACTATAAGCGTATATCGAGTCTAAATTTCTTTTTCACGGAAACAATTCATAAAGATTTTTTTATTTTAATGTATGTATTATGATATCAGTTATGATTTTAATGTACATTTAAAATTTTAGTCATAAAACTTAAACGATGGACCGTGTTGATGGTGGGTAAATGTTTTTATAGCAGAGTCTAGAATACAATTAGATAGTAAAAATGAAAAGGTAAAATACTCTTTAACGAATTTTTTATAGAATCATTGCCAAAGTGTATGAATTCCATACTCTACCCAAGTAATATAAGCCTGTGAATATAGCCTCATATTTACGCACATAATGTATGTATGTAGAAGTGTATGTGAAGCTTGCAAATCTCTAGCCATTAATAACTATCAATGAGCGATGTAAGTTGTATCGAATGAGTACAGAATGGTTGAGATGAGTTTATCGGAGCGTTAGTAAAAGCGTTCGTCCGAGCGAAACGGTGCGTTGATCCCGTGCGTGTCTGATCTTCAATAATAAATAACATACGACGTATTTATGTTCATAACGCATTATTATAATGATCTATTGATAATTCTGTCTCTTAATCTGTTGAAAAGATGCTATACTTTAGTAGTGGTAATAAAATAGCTCTTAAGCGATTATATTTTGTCAAGTTTTGAATATTAATTCTTCTTCTTCTACCTGACAATTTTCTAGCTATAGCCAGGGTCTGCCTTACATGTTGTGAATAGTTTTGACTAATTGTTTTTAAGACCAGCCGCCTGCCTGACATCAACCCTCTTTGGGAACGCATTAATCAGTGATGTCTAAATACTCTAAGAAAGTACATATGACTCGGAAAAATCACATTGTTACTTGCCAGGATCGAAGCCGCGCCCTCGTGCATGGGAGGCAGGCCTTTAACCACTAGGCCATAATTGACTTTTTGAATATGAATTATTATGTGTAAGATATAAAGCAAACAATATAAACAATGAATCGTGTTTATTATACAAAAATAATAATAAATAAACTTAAATAATCTTAACTATATAATCTACAATAATTTAAGGAAATGCATTAAATGATCCATAGAGTTATGATGCTATAGAAGTCTCTATCAACATTTACCAGTTATTTGGCAGTAACGTTCGAACTCACTATCACTGTGTTCATATTCCTCGTACCTGGAGTGTTCTGTCTGGTAGTTTGTAGGTCTTCTGACACGTTTTCTTCCTTGGTAACCTGGCTTTCTGATTGGTCGTCGATGTATGTTCTCACGATACGCCATACGTGTTGGCCGCCTTGTTGTAGGACGAGCTCGGCTACGTGTACTGCAATATTTTCAAGCGATTTTGTTTAAACAATAATATTGATATTAATATTTTTGTTATATAACAGTTAATATATTTATCTGTTAGGTATGGTTATAATGAGTATATCATTATATTGTTGACAGTTAATTGGCTGTTTTCATAATTCATTTGTGTCGTCACACACACGAAGAGTTACCCATTTCTCGTTCAATAATTTATTTTAATACTATAATTGGAGAGGAGTTATGAATGAAAAACTGTTAACGCGTCGTAGGTAGTGAGAAGATGCCGATTTAGAATATGCTTACTCTCACAATAAATTTCTGTCCGAAATATGATTGTTAAAACTTAGAAACTGAAACTGAAATATGAGTATCATTATGAATTATCACTTTTCATTGATTTCAAAATGTTATTAGATTTAAATATATTTTTGTTACAAGCTATGGCTTAATTCACATTAGAATTGAGGAATATTTCAAATATGTCAATGAATTCTTTATTAATGTTTTTTCCTCTCAAAGTGACATTAAACAAATAGTAGATGTTAAATTAACAATTAAAACAAAAAAAAAGAAAAAAAAATCCCCTATATATATAATATTTTGAAAAGTATACATTCGTTCAACAAATAACAACGTTGACATTAGCAGAATATTCCACGATTCCGAATAATAAAAATCAGTAAAATCAAATCGAAATAAGAATACTGACAACGTTAGGAAAACGAAAGGCTCGTTAAAATTTACGTCACAATAATTAAGATTCATTGTAACCTATGAATTTTAATGACACTCTCACTTTCCTTTTAATAATTGTCTTATTCCTGGAAAAGCGTTGTTCACAATCGCATAATACGAAGGTTTGTACTGACATGGATATATTGTGCACACGCAAGTGAAAATGTTTTTACTTGAGATGTTAGTACCTACCTTGTAATTGTTTTACTCAACGAAGAACAAAAAAAAATATAACATAAATATATGTACCTAAGTAAAATGCATTAGGAAAACAGCAAATCGTTTTAATAGTTGTGCTTGAAAGGTATTTGAACAATATTCTTAGCTTAAATATAAAAAGAATGCATGACTGTATGTACTTTATAAATTTTTAAGCTAATCAGATTTTGATGAAACTTTAGTTTTGGTTTAGGATTACATTCTCTGTTACACGTTTTCATAGTTTAAATGGTATTTTTGTTACAGAAATTATCATTTCTGTTTATATGATGATTGATTTTAAATACAAGTAATATCTAGAATAAGAAATCTGCCCAGTCAAACGTGCAACTATTATTCTGTGTCTTATATAATATTTGCAGACACGATAACTCAATTAGTAAAGAGACTGAAACACGATATCACTTAGGTTGCAAGTTTAACTCGTATGCATAATTTTTTTTACATATTTTACCCCCAATAGATTTAAATAAAACGAATATTTTTCGGATTATCTACCCATTTAAAATTATTTTTAACTTAATACTTCCGGCGTTTCGATTACATTTCACTTTGCAGCACCCGTGATCACGCGCAAAACGAGACGAAACTTCATTCATTCCATATACGTAGTAAAACCGAAAAATATTAGTTTCATTTCAATGGTCGCGGAAGTTCTAGTATCTAAAAAATCTAGTATATTATGTAAATATACTAGATCTTAAAGGATTATTTAATTAACAATAAATATAATTACTTCTTGTGTCGTTTGTAGACAGGTCGCATTGTGTCCGGGCGTGGTTCATATTCATCATCGTCTTCGTACTGCGAGTGATGAAACACAGGCCTCACTTGAGGTACATGAACCGGGTAAGGCTTCACTACGGGGACACGCACCTAAGAAGAATTTAGAACATCCTTCTAGAATATTAACTTCTAGAATACTACATATATATTTTTGATCTTTTTATTTAAGTTGTGCTATTAAAGTTATACAGAAGAATATATTCATAGAATATTTACAAATCTATATATTTACAATAAACATGAACAGATCTGTTTTTATTATTTATATACATAGTACGTAGTAGCGATATTTAATAATAGATCAATTAGACGTCATTATTAAATTTTATTTTATTGTTAAGGTCTTAAGACTAAAGTTAAACCGATAGACCACAGTTCATGAAGAAGTGGATATAAAAAATTTTAGACGTCTTTAATAGAAGAATGTTTTAAAAAAACTATTTTAAAATATTTTTCAATTAAGCCATAATTCCTCTTTAACCCTCTATCACTCAAGAACGTGGATTTTAAAATTAAAATTGGATCCGGGTTTAAAACGACAAAATAAAATACACGTGTTTCAGTTTTTTTTCATTTATTAAAATAGTTTAGAAGATATTTTTTAAAAAGGGGAGTGTTGCTTTAAAGCAACACTGGACCATAAGACTAAAAAAACGTAAAACTATATATTAGAAACCTATTTCTGAAAAAATTATGATAGGAGAAAATTTCTAAAACAATTCTTAGTTTTGGTATAACACAGTGCTACCCCACATTTCTCACACATGTTATACGTAAATCCAACGCACTTTGGAAGCTTGCACCTCATTTTTTTTTCAGACCATTGTGGCCAGTGGCCTATCTGGTCTTGGCGTACTGCCATTGGAGGTACGTATTGTGCAGGTCCTTTGTGCCTTTTGGCTTGAATCTTGGTCGTTGAAATGTATAGTTATCGTTGAAATGTATAGTCTGACGAATTTTCTCAAGTTTCTTGAATTATTGTTGTACCTAGGATTGGGCTCCAATGATTAATAACTCTAGGTAACTGGATAAGAGACATTAAATACACCACTCCTATGAATTGCCTGACATCCATTTCTGTCATGTGTGAAGTGCTATTGGGATCCTTTTGAACTCGGTAAAGGTTTGTCTCTTCTGCAATATTTTGTATGAGTTCTTTAGGAAACAGGTATAAAAAGAACTGTATGGGAGTATGAAGGTCTAGAAGATCAGGACCCAAGGTCTTATTTCCCTTGAACATGAGCTGCTCGGCATTCAACTCAAGATTTTTTTTCTTCCAGCGTAATACCAACTTGGCAGGCTTTTTTTTACCTTGGAATTGCTCGTTGCTCATTTGTTGGCTGTCTTGAGCTGAAGAAAGTTGAGGAACACTTACGTTTGATGGGTCAATTTCTGCGCTTGTAGATGGGTTTTCTTGTTTATCTTCTAAAGTTTCGATAAGAGAATCCATGTCAATGTCCAACGCCACATTGTCATCTTCAAATGTTTCCAGTTCTGGTATAAAATCAGGGTCCGCAAGGCTGTCATCGTCAAAATCTAGCCCATCCTCACTATCCGCACCATCTTCCAGCGCTGCAGCAATGTACTCGTCCGTAAGGAATTGCTTTCGAGCCCTCCTTGGACATAAAAAAACTCCTATAAACACTATGGCCATCATACAGAACAACTCATAATAAATTCACCTTTTCGATCAATGTAGCCTACGAGCAACAAACAAGAATTTTAAAAAATTAACAAAACAAGACAATATTTTGGCAATGATAACATTAGATATTGAAATTCAGATACTTACCTATCCATATTTACCAAAATAACACCAAAAAACATCCAAAAACGAATTATTTACTATTTTTCAAATCGAGGCACGCACGCACTTGTTCGAATTACCTACAACTGACAAATGAAGTTTGATTTGCAACACGTAACGCCATCTAGTAAAATTTATCAATACTACTTCTTTACTTCGTTTTGTAGACTGCGGACTACAGTGCAATTTATCGACAAAGAATGAACCATTTTAATTTTATGGGCGATCAAACGGTATGTTGCTTACAGTCTACAATATGCTACAGAGGGTTAACCTCTCAAGTCAATTTACTTTTCCTTCCTTCCCTTACGATAAGATCCGTGGAGAAAAAAATACGAAATTTTTTTTGTCACTAATATTCTGTTCGGTGTATTAAATAAATCAAAATGATTGGAATTACTTTTCTATTTAATGAACGTGTCTTAGACATATGTACATAACAAATTAATTTAAATATATCTTGAGATGTAGAAATATTACATAATGTACAAGATCATTATATCAATATGTAGGAAGCAATATGCAAAATTAGTTGCATAAATCGAAAAATATGTACAAACATTGGCCTTAGCAAATACAGATTTTTCCTACGCTAACTTTAATTCCTACTCCCTAAGTTCTTTAATTATTAGTAAATTATAATCCCATCTATACTAAACCGTGCCTTTCTTCTCACTGTCATAATTAAATTTATTTCAAATGTAACAAAACCAAACATTTGTGGGTATTATATAAAACGAACCTGTTTTTCAACAGGTACGGGAACGGGCCTCTCTACGATATAAGGAACCTTTTTGATGACCGGATACGGCATCGGCTTCTCAACCGGTACGGTTAGCTCCTGTATAACCGGTACGGCAACCGGTTTTGGTATCGGAACCCTAACGGGATAGGGCTGCGGCACCGGCACTATCACCGGATGAGGTATCTCAATCTGTAAATCCATTTGTACAACTAAGTGCAAACCATAACCACACGTGTACAAAATATATGTACAATACACGTTTGTCTCAACAACTAATGGTGCATTAACTTTTCGTTTCTTCAGCTCAAAGCAGCTTGAATTCCTCATGCGTTATTTAAATAAATAACTCTCGATTTAATTAAATAACAAATTTATAATACTTTCTATTGATTTAAGAATTCTTGATACAATTAAACATAGCTTTCACATTTTATTAGACACTAAAACAAATGTACCGTAACTAAAACTCAGTTATAGCTAACCACTAATTTAAAAGGTATATTTCACTTTTATTGATTTTAATAAAAAAAATTAAATAAGTTAATTAATAGACAGTTTAGTGTTACAAGTTATTTTACGACTACGAAGTGTTTCATTACGTGATTTCACCGACTAAACTTATACAGGCGCATCGTCTTACGATCTATGAAGAAAATAGTGCGCGACGTGAACACCACTCACAAGATCCGCATTCCATATTCTTTTGATTAATTACATAAAAAACAGATGCAATATTTTCTGGATTCCAGCCCAGTGCACACAATAGATCATACATGCTAATATAGAAATGTTTTACTTACGGCGTACGGTTTAGGACGAGATATGTGAATCGGTTTACTGTCTGATGCGTAACTTTCATAATCACGATTAGATTCTTTAGCCTTTGATTTCAAAAAGTTTTGTCTCCATTTCTCTGATAAGTTTTCGAATTCAAATTCTTTAGCCTCATCGTTATACTTGAATGAATTCGGATAAGATGGTGAAAAGTCATCGTGGTTTCGTAAACCTAATAAATCTTCTTCTGTTTTAAATTTATTTCTAATATAATCTTTAGCCCATTCCGGTTGTTTTATTATACTAGGGCTGTGTGATTTATATTCATTTGAATACGGCCATTCGTTTATCGCACTATCAGAATATTTTCCATATTTACTACTGTGCGGCCTTTTCGGTATGTGGACGATTTCTTCATCGTCGTCATCGTATGAATATGGTTTTTTGGGTTGTTTTCTATAAGGTGGCAACTCAGTTGGCTTATAAAAGCTACCCCATTGAGAAGTAGACGCTACATCGGAGTAGTAATTTTTAAACGCATTTAAATATTCTTCAGATGGTTTGTAAGTATCTGGATCTGGTAACGAGAACGGTAGTGTTTTTAAACTAGAATATTCTTTATTTGGGAATCTATGGCCAACAATATTTATATTGCTGCTCTCAGGAAAAACTTCATCTATGCTGCTATTAAATTTCCTCTTGGGTTTGTCGTCAGCGTAATGAAAACTGGAAGTGCTGTAATCAGTTGAATACTCATAACCTTTTTTTAGATCTCTCAATTTGTTAAATTCATCATTGTTATTGTTGTAGTGCTTTGTTTTTAATTTCTCTTTGTAATCTGGTTTATATTTGTTGGACTTCAAATTGTTTTTAACACGAGGATAAGAAGGTGAATTGTTTTCATTCAAAAAGCTTACTGGGGCTGTCTCTTTGTCAAAGTCGTCGTCTTTTCCGTTATTATTATATGAGGACTCTTGATTGGCGCTTCCATGATCATTATTAATCTGATCGTTATTATTAAATTCATCTGTCTGGAAGGCATTTACATAAATAGGTTTAGGATTTGTATATTTACTTTCGACGCTACTCGGATAATATTTCTTAGCACTGGTAAAGTCAACTACCTTTGGAAACGAGCCCGGAGAATTTAAGGATGGATAATTAATATTATTTTGATTTTCCACAGATTTCAATTGATGACTAGATTCTTGATTATTATTATAATTTTCATTATTATTTTCAATGACCGTAGACACACTGTCCAAAATATTATATTCAGTGTTGTTCAAGTCTTTGGCTGGTTTATTTCTGGTTTTCGAATTAAGTTTTGTTCCGTATATCGGATGATTTGAGCTATCGTGTTTCAAATCAAATGTATTTTGTTCCGTGTTCTTCTTCTCGTTGAAGGATTCGTAATTGGATGTAAAGAAGTTTATAGGAACTGGTTGGAATATGTTAACATTTGCTTGTTCATCGTTACTAACAGCAAATTGAGTTTGATCAGGGTCATAATACCCTTCTGAACCGGTTGCTTCTATAGCCGATGGAAAAGCTGGTGCGTAAAGCCGCATCGGAGTTTCCTGTTGTCTGTTAGTATAAGCGGAATAATCTTGCGAACTTTGTACATATCCATCATGAGAACTTACATCATTGAAACCGAATGTCGAATATAACAGAATATTCGGCTGCGGTGTCGATTCTATAGAATCACTTTCATTGCTTCTAGATTTCTTACAATCGGCTGGCATTAACGCGAAAATCGCTAACCAAATTAACTTATTGTACATGTTTATTAATTGTTATAACATCACATGGTCTGAAAGCGTGTATGTTAGCGTGTGTTCGTTGAACGACTGAGGTTTATCTGAAAGACTAGACTGAACGGTCTGTCTTGACGTGACTTCGGTCTATGAAAACGAAAGCGTCCACGGTCCAAGAAACAGACAATTCCAGTGCGATCGTTATCGTTATTTACTAATGCATTGTTTTTAAATTCATACTAATGTTCTGTTATAAATCTACTTCGTGACTTCCTATATTTTATATATATTCGTTAGTGACATCTTTGCTAATATACAAACTGACAAGTAAATTAACCGTGCTAATAATTATAATGTTCATGTTTTAAAAAAGAAAATATGCAATAAATCAAATAATAACTAATTGCGGAATAATATTGTTTCTTTATTATTATTATATTTTTAGCAAAACACGAATGTTTTAAAACAACTGACGGGTTAATTAAATTAAATTATTTCGTTACATTTCCTTAATTATATGAATTTTTTTTCAGTTTAATCAGTATACATAATATATTAAACAGGTATTTTAAACGTAAAGCTTCACTTTATACAATTTATATATAAGGGTAAATAAAAACAACATCGTATCATGGTCTATGTATTATCAAACTTTGATACATTTCATTGTAAAATTTATGAAGAATTAAATCGCTTATACTATTTAGTGACAAAATATCAAAATTATAATGGCCACGACACACAGCATACAAGCCGAAGCTATGTCTCAATGAGACGTTTTGTACTAAGTCATCTATTATAAAGAGAAAAAAAAATAAATCAAAAAAGATTTCCATGTGAAACCATAACGAGTGGAATTAACTTCATTTTTTTACGTAAATCATATAATATCTAAATTTCTAACTAATACTCTGAAAATAATCAACAATATTTATAATTAGGCACAATGGAGAAAATATTTGGAAATTTTTTAATCTTTCACATATGAATAAGTGAAATTATCTGTGACATTCCTTTATGAAGACTAGAAAGATCAAACATTCTATTTTTTTTTTATATTTATATTGTTTAGAGATTCTATTAATTGGAAACACGTAATTATATGCTGCGGTTAAATCGTAATATTACATAATTATACATATATAATTTTCCTTTGGCATGTTTATCTAATATAGATTCTATATACATATATATGTTAATAAAATTCTAATTAATAAAAAAATAAATATACACATAAAAACTCTTTCATGTTTGACATCAGTTAAAAATTTTTTTTCCTCAAAAAAGAAATTCCAACCAAGCAATGAGTCTTACCAGCCAGTTATATTTGTTCAATATTATAAATATAATAAAAACGATTCAACCACAGCATTATATAATGATAGAATACTTAAATATTTATTGCTTTCAAAGGGCACTACACACTACAAACTTGTACAGAAATAGGCTCTATAGGTATTGAATAAAAATACAAAAATATCTTTCATATCTATCACGTACATGAACACTTTGTTATCAAACTATTGGACAACTATTTAGGGTGTAATATCAAAAATTGTAAGGGAATAATTCTTTATGTAGATGATAATTTCATTCATCACTTATTATCATAAGAATCTAATATACTTAATAAATATGAAATTTAACATCTACAACTAGACCGTATTTTCAAATGTCTAACTACTAAAAAGTTTTATTTTCATATAGTTACATATAAGATACTATGGATGTTTAGATGAACCTACGGGATGATTGTGACAACGAGAAAAAACACTTACAAATGGCTACATGAAATGTTTGGTGTTAAATTTAAAATGTTTAGAAAAATATTTTCTTCTCTTCTGAAGACGATTACCCTTATTGTTACAGCTCTCGCAGTCGATACCTCAGTCAATGTTTACTGGTTAGGTTTCATAAATTAAACAACGGTAACATAACACTTACGAATACTCCTAACATAAAACCTAATACAGCTACCGAATATACCAATAACTGTTCAAAATAATATATATTTTGTGACACTTTCAGTGACTAAGTTATGACAAAACAATATAGAACCACATCACCTATCTACAAAGTAAACAGAATATAAGCTTTGCAGTCAAAGCATTACCTACATATAACCCATATGCCTTCCACAGTTACATAATCAAATCCATCGATATCAAGCATTTCATACATTTTTGGATTTCATAGAAAGCGACAAATAAAATTAAATAAACAAATAATGCCGTTTACAACACACATAATCATTTCATCTCATTCCATCTTCCAAATTTGATTTAAAGAAGTTTGAATCATTGATTTTTCAATTTCGAATGAATTAGTTCTTTAATGCAGCGTTAGATGGCGCCTTAATTAAAAGGAAATCTAAGGATCTAGATGGCGCTATAATAAAACGCCAAAAGATATTCAATGCTTAAAAACGCCGCTAGATGGCGTTATTACGAAAGATGATGTTTACGCAGAAACAAAGCTAGATGGCTCTGTCACTAATGTTGTTTAATGCGCAGACGCGGCGGGAGAGGGCGTTGGCGCGGCATGTCTCAGTCTGGCGCGGACTTGCTGCAGTGTGGGATTTGTACCGGCTTCAAACTCTTCTGTGCTTTGTTCAGCTTGTTCAAGACGTCTGGCCCGCTCGGCGATCGCTCTTTCCAATTCTGAAATACATTAATGTACTTCTTAAACGAAAAGACGTGTTGAAAATTTAATAATTATGGATATTGTATAACCATGTTATGTTATATACGGCAATTAAAATAACAAGGTTTCGTTGCAAATTATATATTGCAAATGATTGCAATTTTACCTTCACAACAATTAATAAAGATTACAGATATTTTGCGAAATGTTACGTAACAACATGTTTATATATCTATGCCAATAACAATTTTATTGCTTTTCTTCGAATATTAAGGATTTGTTTACTATTGGTATATACATAGTTTAAATTTGCGTTTCACTTTTATAAACTAACTTTTTTAAGGCACTTATTATATGTCAAATGCGTGCTCAATGTCCGCTAATGACAATTATTACGTAAAACAATAACATTTTTATTTCCACTAAAGAGATCCTACATTTTTATTAGTCTCGTAAATATTTTTTTCATCAAGCATCACATAAAATCTCACTTCCCATTATAAGATATCTGTTATAAGATGTAATAAAATTCGATTTTAGATAAGAATAGAATACTTATGCAATAATTGCCTGTTATCTAACGATCAAAACAAAGACGATACATGATAATATAAAAAATATTATAACGGTCAGATCTCATATGACATACTTTGGTATACTGACGATTACTTACCAGTATTTTGGATCGTATACATACAAAGATTTATTAATAATATATTGGATACTATCAATGTTTAGTCTGACTTTATACTAAGAGTAAGTGTTAAGTATTAATGAGTTTTATTTTAATGTATTTTTCAATACTATCAATACAATTTATTTATTTACGAGTTTTCTCCTATCTTCCATACGGAAATGATCGTCATTACAGTTTCACTTTCATCGAACCTTGGTCATTGACGCGGACCGGGTTTAAGGAAATTACTTAAGGGCATCCTACATTAATATTTTATAGCATAAATCTTATTTACAACGATTAGATTCTGCTTGTCGTTAATATTTATGCTTGGAGTCGAGAATAATTGATTATTGATATAATTTCATTCAAGGTCGTACAACAGATGTATTGTTTATGAAATTAATTAGTTGTAAAAAAAGTTTTACTATTATTTTCATATATTGAAATATCTATCTAACATTCCTTAGATAAAGATAATATATTCAATAGATATATATTTTCTAAGAGATTATATTTTATCTATACATTCCGGATTTAATCTATGAATTAACTAATACACGTTTTCAACAGATAATATATGTATAAGTATGTCATGTGTATGTTTGTAATAAAGTTTAATTCTCTGTTGAAAATTTTATCATTAGCTTCCATAGTACAAATGTTCGTCGGGGTGAATGACCGATGCACCTGCATTAACGTCCGGATACCAAATACAGCGCAAAATAATACTTAGATTTGATAAATTATTAAGATGGCTGACAATCGTAAGCTATTTGAACTGAAGGAGTATTTTAGAGAAAACATTCTTTACCTAGTTCGAAATTCAAATTTAGTTGCAATACTTAATTTTTTTTTTTATTTGTTAGTTGAAAAAAGATTTGAAATTCTAAAGAAACTATTGTTTGCTACAGTTCGAAATTCAAATTCCGAAAAAATATACCAACTAAATGCTCCAATTATTTCAATGATCTTTAAGTTGAAAAATATTCTTTGCTAGATTTCGAAATTCAAATTTAGGAAAATATAAAGTTGTAATTTAAACGTCACAATTTTAAATGGGATTTTGATATTTAATATTAAATTTATACAAAAATATGTAAGTACTTATGCAATATACATGGCAACGTAATTACATCCTCGGATATAGAACGCAAATGTGCCGCAGAGCTTACTAAGTCGGTCGAGTAAAATAACCCATATCGAAATAATTATCCGGTGAATTGATACCAACGTTGAAGCATAGTACGAGTTACGAACTAAATACTTCACGTTTTTATTCAAAACTCTCATACTAATCATCTCTATAAAGATTTACGTAAACTATTAGACACGGTATTTTAGAAGCAAATAGTAATATTTCCGGATAGCACATTTAATATATCTGGTAATTACATAGCTATTGCCAAATTTTTGCGTTCAAATAACATAACTGACGCTTACGACATGATGTCAAAGGTAATTCTTACGTGAGCTATGTATGTTGTAATAGTAATTTGGTATATTATAAACGCCACTTTACGACCAGTATAACTTGAACCTTATTTTTATTTACCTGGCGTTTCCCTGTGCTGTTGTATTTGATTCATGAGCTGCTTCTCTTTGTGTTTCGATAGCGCCTTTTGGAGTTCGCTCTTTTGATTTAGAACATTTTTACCTCTGAAACAGATGAGCATTTATTTTAATGAATTTTCATAGAAATATAACAGAAATCTATTTATTTGTTTACAGATTTAAAATATCATGAACAGTCTTTATTCGGATCGTAAAACAATTCATAAGCATTTTAACCAACTGATGCATAACAAAAGACTAGCTTATTTAGGTTCGTATTGCATTATTTTTATCTCTTTCTGGGAACTACGCTTTCATAAAACATTGTTTCAATGATTTTTATATATGAATAAACAAAAGGAATATTGTATAACAAATTATAATGTCGTAGCTGAAAAAAAATTACGTATTATCTTATCAAATTCATTTTCGCTTCCATATAAGGCAATGTCGTTTTTGTTGATAAAGCGTTACGTTGTACCGAGACTGATAATACATTACTGATTGTAAGTATGGATGAATTTTAATAGACAAAAAATTACTCATTATATACGTGTAAGCAAAAAAAATTTAGGGTGAATAACTCATCTTGAGCGTTAAAAATATTACTAATTTAACCAAAATTCACGTAGTAAATTCGTAAAGCGTTCTTCAATACTATAATTACTACAATTAAAACATGTTTGTTTCCCACGAGCTACCTGCATATGTTGTGACGTAATAGATGCACATCTGCCCAGAATCTGTTTGCATAGTGTATAGAAATGGGTGTAATGTTTAACTTGTTTAATGAAGACTCATTATGAAATATATGAGAATTAATATGAAATTGATGAATCTTAATTAATGTTAATAATGGTTTAGTTTTTATGAAGCATCTGTGTATCAAACTATGTAGTAGGGTCAAGTCACAAGTGTATAAAGTACTCTTAAATTCTTAGTATTGTAAAGTATCCATAACCTTATCTAACATTTTCGCGAGTACTCATTTATATGAAACTAATATTTTCGGAACTACGCTTACTATAATTTATTTAGTTTCATTTTTTGTAAACTATTCGTTTATTAACTATATGTATAGAGCGGATGTAACAAAAATTTTTATACGATGAACATTTTGGTATTATAATTATAGAATTTGATGAAAGCCCAATGAGTCAATCGACATAGTTAATCTATTAAAAATTACTCACAGCTTCCGTTATAGTAAATTTGTATGAAATAACCATGAGAGTGATAGTTTAAAAATATTCAGTAATTGTTAGCATCTAAATATTATCATCGTGTTATTCCTTAGTTTAAATTTCGCATTACTCGAAGCGTTTAGCTTGAAATGAAATTTCCAAGTCATTAGCGTCTACATCGTCGAGATGAAATCCAAACTGATTGCTAACTTTACGACGCTCCTAGAGCATCTCAAATACATCTTTGTAAACTATATATAGGCCGACATATCGTGAACTAAATCTAAAACCCAATCAACGTATTCTACGAAGCAAGAAAATTAAATTGAAATCGTAGATATGTCTGGATATGTATGTAAGTACAGATATAAGGAAATTGCGTCCGTTCGAATACTTCGACAACACATTCATTTGATAGTATTTTTCGTATTGCAATGACATTACTGAGATTTGGAATTGTTGAAATTTTGCTATGATATTGTGAGCACATTCATAATGATGGTCATAAATAAAAAAATATTGAATTACGACGCCGCCTGCAATGACAGTAATAGGTTTTGATGCGGGAGTTTGAAATGTCATTCCCGTTGGTAGCCTGGAATTGCTTCCTTCCGCAGCGACTGTGGACGCGGAAATCGGTGACGGCTACAATCGAAATTACTTGGAAATGAACTGTATCAACAGGTCGAAACGCTATACTGAGAGAACCACCTAAACTTAACAAAGTACGAATATTCACATTCCATGGAATACAACTCTCAATTTGTGGCAACATTTGCCAGGTAGATATTTCTATGTATTTATTCCATATGGCGCAGTTTTTTTTTGTTTGCTTTGTAACTGACTTCAATACGTTTTAAGACAGATGTTCAATACTGTTTGCAACAGGATGCTGTGCACCTGTTAGAGGAATTCGAATAATGATTGACAAAAACATCTTACTAGAAATGCCAATATATTTGTCTTACAAATTTTAATTATTTAACTTGATCTCATACATTACTTTAGTATATGAGAAAATATTTAAGACGCCAAAGAGTATAATCGTTTGTTTTTACGACTATTATTTACCTTCTAACAATGTTATATCAGTGAATATTTTATTTCAAATTATCTATCATAATACGTCATCAGTTTGACATTGACGAAGTATTAACATAAAGGAGATTAACGCTCATTTAATTATAGGCTTAATATGTTAATTAGATACATTCCACGTGAATTAACCTGTCCTTATGAATAAGAAATGTTTTATTATAACTATGTAATATTTATATTATGTAAAACTAATTCAGTATCGATCGTATTGTTTATAAGAGTTATTTTATTGGAAGTAAATTTATTTATTTATTGACTGTTGAATACATATAAATTCAATTGTACTCAATTTCTTGATCAATAGGACAATATTAAACATAAGAGAAGTGATAGACGTATTGTAAATTTTATTACTTAATGAAATTTTCTTTATTAACTATAAAATGTGTTAATTCGTATAGATAAAATGTAGAGTAATATTCTGTGGGAAAAACTTTGACGTCATTCGTGTCACCTTACCATCTTTGAAGAGCCTTTTGAGGGTGACAGAGTTCTTTGAGATGCTCTTCACAATGGACAAGAGATGCCAGCGTCACATTCAAGACATACTTAGATAATACATAGTAATGGATCCACGTATTTGTATGAGAAAAATTTATATTATGACCTTTTGAGAAATCTGCTACGTTATTTTATTAGTTGTGAAGTAGAAGAACAAAAATATTTAAGTAAAATTTCCCTCTTAGATTTATTTCATTTAAAAAAACGATAATTCTTTCATATAATTTTACTTGTGAATAAATATCTTGCTTTATATTCACATAGTGAGCTGTCTTAATAAGCATTTTGGTCCAAACAAGTTCATGAATCAAGATACTTATCATCCACAAAGATACCGAAATATGCGGAAAATATTGTGCGTGGACTGGCCTTACTTTGAATAATATGCGACTATACAGGGTGACTGGTGAATTACTATCGATACTTGAGGACGTGGTAGTTGACGATCATATATGTATGACAAAATAAAAATTAATATAACATAAATATTAATAAACTTCTAGGTAAAGTTAACCAAAAGTTATGTAATTAATTACGGATCGTGTGGACACCCTAGCTGCGTTATCGACACAAAACAGTTATGTACGTAGGTACATTCGAATGAGAATCATGTACCGAGTATTCTCCTTAAATATTAATAGTAATTCACCAGTCACCCTGTATATCAGACCCGGCTTCGGTCGCGTTTGAAGTTTACCGTTGAGGTCGTCCATTTTAAAGATTTATGTTACACAAAGCAACGTGAACTGTTATTCTGACAAACTTCTTAGGACGTGTTTAGATACGTGTGTACACGTTATTCCAGTATGTAATAAAATCAGTTTAGTTATTTATCCACGATTTAGAATAATATCACATATAATTAATTATTTATAATGATAATTATGAAAAAACCATATCTTTATAGAAGATCTTTCGCACAGTATATACGTAACTAAGCTTTGGCCAAATAAAACATTACTTCTTCTTCTTCTTCTTCCTGGCAATTTCCCAGCTTAAGCCAGGGTCTGCTTTACATGTTGTGAATAGTTTTGGCTAATTGTTTTTACGACCGGCCGCCTGCCTGACATCAACCCTCTTTTGGGAAATAAAACATTACTACCAGCAATATTTAAGTTAACTATCAATCTCTTCTTAAGGGCACTTTTACAGGGAATTAGCATGTCACAAAATATTCAATTTCATAGGCCAAATAAACGGTTAAAGCACCTCGTAATGAAATGTAAGATACAAAAACATACTCTCACATTGATTAATTATTAGTATGGAATTCTATAGCGTCGTTATCGCTACTACAAATACAGTAAAGGAGAGTCTGAAAGTCATATAATGACTGCTGGGCAATCATAGACGAGTTATTGGCGCTATGAAGGGCAAGTATTCCTTATTTAGCGGCATGGCGTGTGGGCCGGTAGGATATAACAATTATATTTCTGTATGCCGCAGTTACATTGTTACATACTATTGTGGTACACACAATATAATGTTATACCATATAGCTAATTCACGATCAATTAAAAAATTTATTGAGCACTATCAATACTTTTTTGGGTCCTTTGTCGTACACATAACGTTATTAACTCAAAGCATTTTATGATAGTTTAATATGACAGAATATAAATCTATTGTATTTATGACTAGCAAAGGAATACACGAAAATTATATGTACATATTTCTTGGCCTTTTTTGCTTCGTGAATAAGGATAACGAAGTATTTGGAACTGAAAGAATTACTTACATTTTCTGATTGAACATGAGTTCTCTATGCAGGTCCATTCGTAGTGGATTTTCAACGCATGGGTTTGGCAATCGGCGTGGGGCTATCAGCCCGTCTCCTGTACCTTCACCCTCTTGCACCATCTCGATTGGGCCCAGCACTGGGTCGCACAGCGTGGGACTACCCACGCCACTCAACTCCACTTGGGATACTGTGGGAAAACAGCATGATTAAAACATATTAACGATATGTCTATGATATGATAATATGTTATTGTTTAAGTTGTTGTTATGATATTTTATAACCACACTTAACTTAGTCGCTAGAAAATTTATATGTGCATTTCGCAATTAAATATTAATACAAAGCAAAAAATAATTATGGATATATTCTTTACATAGTCAACTAAGATTATCAAAGAGTATGCTTCTTCAAATGACATTGTAAATGAACAATATTTATCCGATCACCTTAAGTGTAAAACAAACGTGTTCAGTCGTAAAATAATGAGTCAGTAATGATATCATCCTAAGGTTACACATATAACAAATTGCTCAAACATAATACACACTGACATCGCATTTTACAATATCTATAACTAGAACAAAATCCGTTTTAGGCA